GAACAAGCTAGAATACTCTAGAGCAATGGTTCTCAACCTGTGGGTTCTGACCCATTTGGGGTCACATATCAGATACCCTGCATATTAGCTATTTACACTACAATTCACGACAGCAGCAAAATTACGGTTATGAGGTAGCAATGAAACAATTTTATGGTTGGATTCACCACTTGAGGAGCTGTATTAAGGGGTCACAGCGTAGGAAGGTTGAGAACCACTGGTCTGTATCCCAACGGAAGCTGTGATGGACAATGATTAACTGTACCCTCAGCCCAGCCAGAAGGGAGGACTCTGAATGTTCTCAGTGCGAACAAGTGGTCACAATTACTGTACTCTGATCATTATGGGTTGTTAGCATGTATTTAAATGTTGCACTGTATATACCCCATCAGCAAGTTCCATCATTATGTCAACTAAAAACTGAAAATAATTACAAAGCCACTCAACTTTCCCAAGCCTTAGCAATCTGATGGGCAAGAGCAGGATGATCAGGGGCCAATAAATGGCTCAGCAGGTAATGATGCTTGCTGCTGAGTTTGACAACCTGAGTTCAAACCCCCACCAGAACTCACACGACAGAGGGAGAGAGCTGATTCCCACAAGCTGTCCTCTGACCTCTACAACGCACCCTATGGCACGTGCATTCCCCACCCCAACCAAAAGTAAAAATAAACAAATAAAAACGGGAGTGGTGTTGCTTGCTCAGGAGTGTGGCTGGCAGGAGCAGACGGGGCCACACAGGTGCGCGCTCCGGCAGCAATGCAGGCTTGTAGCTCAGGCAAGACTTACTTCTTCCTTCTCCCAAAGGCCAGTGCAGGCAGAGTTTCCTGGATTCCTCCCCATCGCAGGCCATGCTGTGTCTCTGTGTTTGTCACTGGCTGAACCTTCCGTTCTTTTCCTGAGTGAGTGTCTACACCCCAAGTAGCCAATAGCCGGGAGAAACTGCCATTGAACTGTTTTCTGGACCCCCAACTCCTATCCCAAACCTGATGGAGAGAGCAGTACCGGGTTCTCTTCTTTCTGTAATGCATCCTTGACATCACCCTTGGTCCCAATCATTCTCAAAGACCTGGCTAGCCCTGAGTCTTCCTTCCTGCCTCCCAGTTAAGGCCCATCCCCTTTCTGTGGTCCACCAGGCACTGGGTGTCTATACAGCACATACATAGGCACACTGCCAATCTGCTTCTCAGGATTCGGCAGGCCTCATGCCTGAATACTAATCCCTTCTTCTGGTGGCTGTGCCTGGTGACGAGACAGTCATCCATCTCTTTTCTTTTTGGGCTATCAGTTAAACGACAAACCTGTCATCATGGTTTTTCAGATCAAAGTCAGAACCAAAATGGCCTGGGTAGGATACAAACAAGGAGTGGACTGCAGATGATAACTTCCCCCAGTGCTAGTTCTCAACCCCTCTCTAGGCCTTAAAGGGGATGTATTGAAGGTGACGTAGGCTTGGCTGGTTTGTTTGTAGAAACAGGAAGGCCCCCATGTCTGTCAATATTTCAGCAAATGGAAGCAAACACATTGTTAGGCTTCGGTCATTCTATAACAGTGAGGCAGGATCAATGATGGAAGGATATTTACAGCTCAAGGAACTGTGCTTTCTGAACTAAGTGCTGATTGTAGCAGGTGCCCCTTGCGCGCCATACTGGCTGCTATGGCTCTCCAAGTGTTCTCCCTGGGCACCGAAGGGACCCTGAGGAACTACCAGAGGTCTGAGGTCCAAGCTATTTTTGTAATGATCTAAAGTCACTATTCTTTGGTGCAGGAGAGATAGCTCAGTGGTTACCAGAGCATACTGCTCTTGCAGAGGTTTGCCATGGCTCAAAACTGCCTGTTATCTCAGCTCTAGGGGATCACCTGACACCCTCTTCTTGTCAAGATCTCCCCATGCACACACACCCCAATGCACATACACATAGCATGAAAAGTAAAATCGAATCTGGAAGAAAAAGGCCAACGTTCCTTTTTGTACTCAGATCACATTTTCACTGGTGGCATAGAACTGACAGAGGACAATGAGGTGGCACATTAGCTTAAGGCAGGGCGCTGGGCTTAGGTTACTGTGCCGTCACTTATGTGTGCATTTGCACATAAAACAACAAAGCGAACCACAGCAACAAAGCAAGCCATACTTCAAGCTGCCCTTGACAAGGTGGCAAAGACTATCAACAGTATCAACGCTGGACCCCTGAGCATTTGTTTCTTTAGCAATCACGTGACAGAACAACCAGTACACACACAGCACTTGGGCAGCCGATGAAATGCTCAGTGAAATTCCTCAGCCTTGTTCCCTGAACTAGCTGCTTTGAATTTTCCCACTAAGCCGCGACTTCTACTGCAAAAGAATGACTGGCAGAGTTTTCTCAGACAGGGACATTTACTAGAAAGTTTCTGGAAAATGAACAAGAGTGAGGCACAGGGCGAAACACAGATGGCATTTGCTGCCAGTGATAGAACTGGAACTTTCACATGATTAATGACACCTTTGAAAATTTGAATTGAGCTTGGCAGCTCCCTCTTACTCAAGACTTTCCGAATGGGAAACTGACCGGTGGTCATACCAATGACGTGAAGTTTTACCTGCTGGAGAACAGAAGGCGTCACCACCTCAGAGACCCGCAATGGGCTGATCTAAGTGACCAGTGTGTGACAGCATAGATCCAGTGCTATAACCCAAAGCTGACAGATAAATGTAGTTTGGGGCCATGCAAGAGGCAAGTTTGAGAATACAGTGGTGGTTCCAGGTGGCTGCCGCCCTTTCAGGAGATGACACTGTTTGCGGTGTATGACCGGTGATGGAAACCCACCATATTGGAAGTGACCCTTAAAATGCTCCATCCTATTCCAACCACATGCCTGTGTGAGGCTGGCCTTTGTCCTTCAACTTCACCCCAACAACTATGGCAACACAGGGGGTGCAGAACAGAAACCAGAGTCGCCATGAAGCGAGACATTAAAGATTTGCAACAGCTAGGCCACACCACCCTTCTCACTTCAGTCGCTGGTTTGTCTCAGTAACACGCTTCTTATATAAATATGCGGTGGACAGTGAATTATTTTTAGGTGGAATAAAAATAGATATTTCAAAACGGTCTGTGTTAGTTTCTGGTGTGTCAGATATTAACAGTGTATCTGACAGGCACACGTTCTTATAGTCCTGAAAAAAAAAAAAAGCACAAAAAGGTCCCAAACTGGGCCCCCATTGCACAGTGTACCAGGCTGGCTGGCTCTCACTTTCTTGACCACTCATTTTCTTGCTTCCCCCTCCCCAGTTTGGTCCAGGAGACAGGTCAGCACCAGCACTGAGTTCCTTGGAGCACACCAGAAGCCACGCTTGGCTGGGAGACATCATCTCATCCACTGAAGATAATCAGAGGTCCTCTAAAGGCATGCAGCCCCAATTATTTTTGCTCTTTCAGTCTCTGTGCCCCGAACCTTACAGAAAAGCACTCATGAGCTGCCTTCACGGCGTTTCTGCATTTTGACATGTCGCTTGGCACCCATTTGGCCAAGAAGGAGCACATTCCACGGCCATTTTCTGCAGCTCCTGTGCCTGGGAGCATATGGCACTGCAATTGTTCACGCAGACTTTCAAGGGCTCAGCCTCAGCCTGTACCCATGCTGACAGGGACTTTTAGTGGCTGTCAGACCTCCTTTGCCTCCCTGGGGCTGCCAGTCCCCATGACAACCCTCTGAGCATCAGGGAATGCCAGAAGCGACAGTTTCACCTAAGACCTGCCTGCCTTCTAAGAAGCTGGCATGCTCGCAGCCTGGCTAGGAGACTCTGGCCTGGGAGGTGACAGAGGTTCCCCAGAAGGAATCTGGGTCACGTCACATTCTGTTACTTACTGAGGATACGTGCCCAGGCAGCCCCAGCAGAGGGAGGTGGGTCTGGGGTCTGGGCTGATACACAAGTGTGACTGTGGGTATGAGTCTTGACGTCCTGACCTTCTGCCAGTTCCCTCACCTGGCTCTTCCGGTTCCCATTACAGGGTCCCCACTGGTGTAGCCACTTTTGGTTCTCCTACTCCTTCTGCCCTGCCAGGGACCTGATCCTGTCTGGCCCTTCTGAGAACAGCCTCAGTGTTATGTCCCAGGGAAGCTTTCTCTGAGTGCCACACGAAGGCAAACCTCTCCTTCCCATCCTCCTTCTTGTCTCACCTATCATGGAGTCCTATGAGTTTCAGGGATGACAGAACAAATGCCTCCTTTCCCTAGAGAGTCCACGAGCCTCATGAGTGTTGGGCCCACCTGTTTCGCCAAGTGTCATCTCTCCGCATTGGCAGCGAGCCTGATATATGAGGCACCTCATCCCCCGTGTGATGCGGGAAAGAATGATGGCACGACAGAGGGCAGCGTGACAGAGCATGGGCAGGCGGTGCGAGCCTGTGAGGTTCTTCTGGACCAGATGGCGAGCACCCATGCCTGACTGAGAGCTAGGCCTATCAACCGCTGAGCCAGACAGGGTGCTGCATCCAGCGCTGTGAGCCATTTAAAGAGAACCTGTTTCATTTAACTCCGGGCTTCTGGTCCAGGAACAAGATCTGGGGAAGAACTGTGAGGAACCTGGGCTGGGAAGACGTTCTAGGAGGGGGTGAGACTTAGTGCTGACATATCACTTGCTCGACAGGGATGCTTGAAGGAGGAATGGGATCATATTGTGAAAGCATGTCCTCCGAATGCACCAAAAGATGCTCTCCTAACACCCTTCTGGAAAGGCAAGATGCAGCACGGGGGTCTTTGGAGGATGCAAGAAATGTGGCAGTCCACTTGCATTCTGGAGCGTCTTTAGGGAGAGCAGGGTCAGGTTTGCCTTGCTTAGCAGATGGAGATGGCTTGGAGTTGGCCTCCCTCTTCCCCCTTTAATACTGTCCCACCTGCAACACCAGGAAGGGATCCACTGAAGCCAGGCATGTCCCCACACCCTCACTTGGATTCTGGGGTACACTGGGAAGGCTGCTGCCGGTGAGGCTGCAGGGGTTGGGGTTGGTACTTACAGTTCAGTCACATCCTTCGGCATGCCTTTGGGGAGGGCGCGGAGACCCCTGTTGCTGCATCGCACCACCGTCTCCACACAGGTGCATTGCTCGGGACAGCGCGGACTCAGCTGGCAGCTGCTCTCCTCATTGCCTGTGGAGGACCCAGACGGGGTGAGCACCACCAGGAGAGCAGGTGGGCAAAGCTGGGGACCAGGGGCCAGCTCTACCTAGTCCCAGCAGTGAGCCCAAGCTAGAACTCACGGTAGCTACTGGTTTCTTCCCCTGCCAGAAGGGAAGGATACACCGCCATTTAATGCACTCTGCATGAAATAGAGACCGGTCAAGCTGCTAACCCAGACCCACAGCCATAAATGGGAAAGACGGTCCTGTCTGTCATATGAAGAATAAACCATGGCTCAGAAAGGAGCAGCCAGACAGCGGTAGATCCTGCTCTTCTCCCTCCCCCCTTCTACTTTCTCCTCTCTACCCACCGCTATATAGTCATCCCTATAGGGTGGTGAGCATATCACCAGCCTCATTACAATGCACCTCTGTTAATCTGCAAGCAAATTTATCTCTCCTAAGGCAATCCAAAAACTCACCAAGTAACCAACTATATATGCTTGAACTCATGTGATCAAATATGCCTTCTGGGGTCCGGAGACCTAACGCCTCAGACCTGCGGGTTATCTTTTAGTCAAATGGCAGGAATTTCCTTGACGTCTGTTTCCCATAAGTACATACTTTGACCTTCATCATAACATAGACAGGAAGACCTCCCATGTTCAGCTGTATATGCCATGTACAGGACAGAGGGGCATGCCATGTGAGGGGCACCAAGTTCATGGTGGACACGGCGAGTGAGTACATCAGGTACAGTGGCATTCATACAGGGAACAGTGGGTTTTTTTTGTTTGGTTTGATTTTTGATTTTTTTGTTTGTTTTTTTTGTTTTTTTTTTGTTTTTTTTTTGTAGACCAGGCTGGCCTCTACCTCCCTGAGCACAGGATTACAGCCATGTGCCACCACACCTAGCTAGAGGATGGTGTTTTGCACGACAGTGTCTTGCTTTAGTGAAATCAGTACAGATGTACCCTGGGGAAAGTAGAGTGGCTTCAGAAAGAGACACTTTTTCTTAGTCTGAGAACAAACAGTGCGGGCTAGCGGAGGACCCTCAGAGGCCTCTGGAGCCGAGTTCCTTAGGGCCCATCTCAAAGGTCTCAGCAGTCTGCCTTGCCTTCCCGATTCACTCCCTCTTACCATCACAGGTAAAGTCCTGGATGGCCACATCTTGGATAGGAATCTCCTTGAGGAAAAAGGGCTTCTGGCATCTGGGGTTCCCGCTGACAATGCGGCGCTTCCTCAGCCACCGGCCGAGCCAGGCCATGTGGCAGTTGCAGTTGAAAGGGTTAGACAGGAGGTTTCTGAGGGAGAGAGAGAGCCTCTGAGTGGTCATTGTCCACCTGGATCCTAGCCCAAAGCCTAGGGTCCGCTCCTGTAATTCAGAGTAACTCTCCTGAGGAGGCAAAAGGGTCTTGGCATTCCTTCCCACGGGAAGCAGAATCTTCCTCTAAACCACGGTGATGTCTGTAGCTGCCCTCAACTATGCTGATGGGTGTGTTGTGATATCCAGCCTTGGTAGATATCTGTCTACCAAGGCCCACTTGGGCAAATCTGGTAAGTCCTCTATGGAGATTTTCCCGTACTCTAGAGCAGTGTCCACCTCTCCTACCCTCCTTCTGCAGCTTGTTGGGCTGGGTGCCAGTGTTCCTGACCCGAGGTAGTTGAGACCGTTCCTTTTTCTGACTTGTACCTTCACTTTCTTCCTGTGGTGTCAGCACCAAGGTCAGTTCTATGCCTGTCAGCAGCTGCCCACTGACTGAGGCTAGCATCTCTGCTGGACCCTGCATATCCAGAAGCCAGGATGTGCACCACAGGTGTGTTGTCCCTGTCTATGCAGTAGCCTGATGGACAGATGGGGTGGGAGATGAGGGTGGCAGCAGTTGGTGCACTGAGCGTTTGCCCGAGGGCTGGGTCCATGCTTAGTAATTAACATATCCATCATGCTACCGAAGGAGAGGATGGATAGGGAGGGGTAGGCCTTGTGGGCAAAGGAGGGAGAGGAGAGGGGATGAAAGGGGATTCCCAGGCTGTGGAATCCAGGAGTTGCACAGTCCTCAGGTATGGGAGGGCGTGAAGTGTGAGGCCAGCAGGGCTGGGTGGCAGGGCAGGGAGCCACACCCCTGGGAGACACCATACTCCTGTCCCCAGGACACTGCTACTTTGTTTTGTGATTTTTTTTGGGGGGGGGCGGGGGAAAGGAAACCACTCGCTAAGGACAGCTGAGACACAAGGCAGCCACAGCGGCGACTATAAAGAGAATGAACGTTGAGAACTCTCTGTCCTTAGGCCTGGCTGTGCCCCTCACACTGTCAGCATTGCTGGTCTTCACAGCAGTCGTGACAGGCAGTCGTGGGAGGGAGAACTGACACATAGGAATAAAGAAACAGTCCCAAGCTGCCACAGCCAGTGAGAGGAAGCTGGAGCCTGAACCTGGGAAATACAGCCCCACAGTCAAATCACTATCCTATGGCTCCAGCTCTGCCTCTGACAAGCACCAGTGGAGTCAGGGCCACCTTGTAAAACCCTCTGTTGACCACACCACGGCTCTACCGAAAAGCTTCCGCATTCTTGGTGTGCCTTGAAACGAAAACAGCCCCTGTGGCCAGGCAGTTTTACCCTGGCCTCCTCTCTAGTCTCTTCTTACACAATATCCTTGCATACTCAGAGCAATGGCCTTCCTAGGCTTCTAATATTTACCCTGCTCCAACCGGCCACCGGGTCTTTGCATGGCTGTTCCTCCTACAGGAAATGCATTTCCCATTTTCTTCAACAAACTAATCTTTCCAACTGCATCTTTACAAAGCTTGTGTTGGGGTTTCTCATCATGAAAATGATCTTCTATGCTACCAGCCCCAGAGGAGGAGTCAGGTCTATGATCCTTAGTACTTAGATGGTAGCTGGCACATAGGGAGAGCCTGACAAATGTCTATTAAATAGACCAACGGGCAGGTAGGCTTGGCCCTAGTCAGTAGGGAGATAGATGTCAGGGACTTCTGCAGAGAGGGGCCCAGCGGGAGTGGGCAGCATGCCCAGGAGAACTCACATGGTGGACAGAGAGACGAGTGTGGTGAAGGCTCCAGGGGTGATGGTGGTGATCCGATTGTCATAGAGTGACAGCAGTCTCACGGAGCTTAGGCCAGCAAAGGTGTCATTGTTTACGCAGCTGATCAGGTTGCTCCTCAGCATCCTGGAAGAGGGTGGGAGAGGGCCATGGGTAGTGCTCTTGCCTCTCAAAAGATAAACAGCCACCTCCTGGCTTAGCAGGTCACAGATGGAGTTTGACAGATGATGAGCAGGGCTTGGATCCCCACTGGGACAAAGGCGAATGTGTATGAAGGTGTATTTCATACACTGTGTGGCAGCTGTAATGCAAATGGCCCCCACAGGCTCATCTATTTGGCTGCTTGGTCCCCAGCTAGTGGAAATGTTTGGGAAGGATTGGGAGGTGTGGCCCTGTTGGGGGAGGTGTGTCACTGGGGGTGGGCTTTGAGGTTTCCAAAGCCCAGGCCTTTCCAGTTGGCTCTGTCTGCTTCACGCTTGTGGATCAGATGTAAGCGCTCAGCTATTGCTATAGTGCCGTCATGGGCTCACCCTCTGAAACCAGAAGCAAGCTCCAATTAAATGCTTTCTTTTATAAGTTGCCTTGGTCATGGTGTCTCTTCACAGCAACAGAAAAGTAATCGAGATGGATCATAAACAAGAAACCACAGCTATCTGTGTATACTTGTACAGACGGTGTGGTTGTGTGTGCACATGTCCTTCCAGGAGGAAGAGGACATGAGTTCACTGTATGTGTGCATGCTTGAATGTGGATGCTTGCCTGCAGATGTGTTTAAGGGGTACAGCACGTATCTCTGTGTGTATGAGTAACGGTCAAGTGAGTGTTTGTATGCACCCTTCAGCACGTTTTTGATATGAATATGCATGTGTGTGCACTAGAATGGCTCTGAGTGGGGCGTGATTAGCTGTGGGCATGCTGGTGGGCTCAGCATGTCAGCTTCTTTGCACTAAAGGTGGAGAAGTCTGATGCTGCAGAGAGGGGGGAATGAACAGGTCAGGACGGTGCCTGACTCTGATCCCTGTCCAGAGCTTGCATGGTCCCGTTCCCATCGCTGCCTCTTGAGCCCCAGCCCGGGTACTCACAGTGTCTTGAGGCCACTGAGGCCTCGGAACATGCGCCCATGCATGGCCTCCAGTTGGTTCCCGGTCAGCATCAGCTCCTGAACACCTGTGGCTCCATCGAAGGCGCCCTCTCGCACCTCCTTGATCCTATTGTTGCTCAGGTTTCTAGAAGGAGGGGGTAGAAACAGCAGGATCAGGTGAATAGGGGGAGCTCAGCCTCCATCTCCCTGGCACTGGGCTCTCAGCTTCTGTGCTCACAGACAAAAGGGGGAGGGGTCACTCCTCTCAGCAGGTGGAGAAATCCACATAGCCCAGGACTTAAAAGATTTTTAGTGTCATTTTCTTTTTATTATTATTTTTTGCGTGCTTTGGAAGATTCACTCTTATTTCTTCTCTTCACCAGGGGCTCCTGCTGTGCAGTGACCCTCAAAAGAGAGCTGGAGAAGAACATAAAGTAGCCCCCTCTACAATGGAGGTGAACACATTTGTGGGGGACTTCTAGTGTTCCCTTAGAAGCGGACACTTCCTACTCAGTATTTGTTGTCTATTTCTTATTCAGGAGATGCCACACGAGAGTCCTTACCACCAGAACCTCTCAAACCCTCAAACAATGCCCGGCACACTGACACTATTGTCCCACTATGTGGATGAGGAGACTGGGTTTTGGGAAGACTGAGTGGTTCTCCCAGCTTCACACAGCTGAAAGAGCTGGGCTATGAAGCTAGGCTTTCTGGGACATAAGAAACATTTCATTGACAAGCTCTTCCCCTGCATAAGTGGTTATTTCTCAGGAGATGTGAGGAGTCCCACTATTGTGTTATGAGTCGCAGAATTCAGTTTTGGGGGTTTTGGTGTTTGTCTGTGTGTGTGCGCAGTTGAATGCACATGTGTGTGGGCCAAGGCCAAAGGTCAACACCAGGTGTCTTCCTCGGTTGTTCTTGGCTTTGTTTTCTAAGACATGGGTCTCTCACTGGACCTGGTAGGCTGACTGGCCCGTGAGCCCCAGCACCCCTCCTGCTTCATCTACCTCAGTCCCAGGATCATAGGCGTGTGCTGCTGCCCTTGGATATCCATGGGTGCTGAGGATGCAGCTCAGACCCTCAGGCCTGCCAACAAGCGCTCTGCCAGCTGACTCATCCCTCAGCCTTGGGATCTGGGTTTTCTCACAGTATCCCTGTTCCCACCCAGCTCCAGCGCTGCCATTCACGAGTCTGCTCCAGCTCTGACAGCAGGCCCTTCTCTCCAATACACGGTGTCCACAGCATGGGAGACCATACCAGGACAGTGACAACAGGCAGATGCTGCATGGCCATGTGAAATTCTAGCTCCCGTGTTCTTTCAGGACCAAGAGTAGGGCTTCTCTGCGGACCTCATCCTGTGGTCCAGGCTGAAGCACTCATGGTTATCTGGGTGGAACCAAGCTTGATGGTGTTCATGGGAGCTGAGCAAGGACGCCTACCTCTCAGCTCACAGCAGAGCCCTATACCGTGAAGGGGAAACCCTGAGGATGTCACAGGCTCACTGAGCATGGGAGGTTTACTGAACTGCTGGGCTAGCAGACACTGGCCACATGTCCAGACTCTTGGTGGGGGTGGGTACTGCTTTATGTCAGATCATTGGGTAAATATGGGGCCATACCAACCCTTTTACAGAGTACAGGGCTGAAGCCTCCCAGAGGGACGAGGGACCAATATGAAACACATGATGAAATAATGGTACTCAAGGGTTCAATTGAAGACACTTTTCTTTTCCCATTGGTGGCCTGGGCACTCAGGAAATAGCAGGGCCTACTCCTGTTCATAGCTGTGGAAGGGAAAAACTCTAGTGGGTCTACTTTTTAAATCATCTTCTCTTTATTCTGTCTCTGCTTCCAAAATGCCCTCTTCTCCTGCTAAGTCCCTCTTAAGGCTTCTTAGCTGGGGCACCTTGAACTGGCTCCATTTGTGTGAAAACCTGGTACTTAACCCGGTTTCAATTCTGGCAGTCCTGGTTGGTCAAGGACAAACCAGGAACGGAGGGGATGCATGAGGGACACAGCACTGGATCACTAAAGTAGATGTAAGAATTGAGGTCAAGGGTTTCCTAACAGGGTTGGGCTCCAGGGAGAGGGGCTGCTTGGGGATTAGCATGTGGGGCTGGACAATGAAGATGAGTTAGAGCAGTGGAGTTGGGAGGGCTCCCATTTCCTGACATCTGCTTCTTCAACAGAGCAAAATTAACATCCCGTTTCTGTAAGGTTTATGAATTGCATTTCCTTAGTCTGGGAGAATGAAAAACAGAAGGGATGGGTTGGGGGGGCAGCTGTAGTCCTTTCTAGAAGAGCTGGCTGCTGTTCCTTCTCTATCCATCAAAGCCAGGCTTACCACTGAAGTCTGTTGTGGGGGTTGGGGGCAGAGTATAGCTTGGAGCGAATATTCTAGAAACAAAATGAATGTATCTGGATTTTCTAAGAGCTCTGATATAGTCCCATGCAGTGTCTACCAAAGACACATCTGTTCCCAGAAAGCTTCGGAATATAGATGCAATCAGCTATCGGGCTCTCTCCCTTTGCCTCCCAAGACCTATCTGGAGGAAGGTGCTTCCTTGTAATTGTAACTTTTACTCTAATGGCCCAGCTTCAGAAACTCACCCTGGGCCCGGGGATGGTTCAGAGGGTTCGTGTGTACTGCCTCTGCAGGCTGCTGGGTGCCCCTGACTTCATTCTTCCCAAAGAACACAGAGGCACACAAGGGGGCTCATATGGCTGCTGAGAGCCTGAGGCCAGGTGGAGAAGGACAAGCTTTCTGAGGCCACTACTCCCTAGGGTTAGAGGGTCGGCCTAACTGCTGCAGTGGGGACAGAGCTACAGTCCTGGTTAAAGCACAGCCCTAGGAGGAATGTATCAGAGAGCCAAGTAGGCCATTCTCGAAACCGAGGACAACTGGCCATGACGGAGCATATGTCCTGGCACATGGCCAGAATGAGGAGATCTTGTCCACTGACCATGAACCTGTCCTTCTCTGAGAGAATACTACAAACTCAGGTGTTCACAGGTTCCAGGCAGGTGACTTAATGGTGATGAGAAGCAGGCCCCTTGAAAACAAAGGTGACCAGGACCTCACATCCATCTAAAGGAACAGCTGCTATTCCGTTTGTCTCTACTGGACCAACCTGAGAGCTGGGGTTGGGTCTACCAGGGCATTTAATAGTCCCAGAGGTACCAGAAAGCAAGGTTTTTATGTTTTCTATAAAAGCTTCTGGGTTTTAAAAGTGGGAAACTAATTCTTATTTAAAAAACAACAAACAAACAAACAAACAAACAAAAATAGCAACCAGCAACAAATCCAACCATGTGCCCATGACTTCAACTAGAGGCTGGCTGATTTTCGGGCTATGGGTGTGTCTCCTAAGTATCCTAACTGGCCTGAAGTTCGCTGCAAGGAGAGCCACATCTCTTTGAACATGGAGTCTCTTTTTCTCTTTTCATACCCCTGCAACTCTCCCACTCTCCCACCCCATCTCTTTGTGCTAGGGATGGCACTCAGGGCCTCAAGCACGCTAGGCAGGTCTCCTACCACTGAGCAGCTCACAGATGTGAAGCCTTTGAAAAGCTGTGTGGAGTTGCCATAGTATAAGAGCCAGAGGTGCAGAAAACACAACAGGGTCTAATCACCTTTGCTCAAACCAGAAATGGTAGATTCAGGACCAGGTAGCCTTAGGGGCCTGGCTCAAGTGTGAGGAAGCTTAGCAGATTCACACCATTGGCTTCAGCCACTGTATCGTCTGATATCCTTACCCACTGCCTCCTCTGTGGGGAAGTAGGGTAGTGACTGGTCCAGGGCACAAGAACACTTTACTTGACAGTAGCTGGTGGTCTGGGTCTAGATTTACCCTGTGACATCTTATTTAGTTGGTTGGTACTGATGAATGTGTGCACTTGCGCGCGCGCACGCGCGCGCGCGCACACACACACACACACACACACACAGTTACTCCCTTCCATGGGCTCACTTTCATTGTTGTCACTGGCTCCTTGCTTTGCGGCCTTCTTGCTACTTAAATTCTGTGTCTCAGCTTCTTCATTTGGAGAATGAAGCAATCCCAAAACCTTTGGTTTTACCTGGCGAGGGCAACATTTAATGGATACTGGAACATTCCGGCACAGAGTGAAGAGTAAGTGTTGAGTACTAGCTATTGTAAATTCTGTTACCATCATAGTCATCGGAGCCTTCCCAGCCATGTCTCACCTTTGCCCTGCTCCCCAGGCTCCCCAAACTGTCTGTGCAGAACTCCTTTTTCCATATGTAACCAGCTACTTCAGGCTACTCAACTCAGATGTCTGGTGCTGGAATCCAACGTCTTCTTTTGCCCAACACCTTGGCAGTACCGCCCTTTCACCCTTACTTCTTCCTGTTTGTTTGTTTTGGTTTGTGCAGTATTGGGGATCGAACCCATGGTCTTGTGTATAGCAAGCAGGCACTCCTCCTCGGTCACCTATTTACTACATCCGCACTCCCAAAGTGAGTGATTTATTATGCAAATGATGAAACCAAGCCCCATCCCCAAAGGGTCTCCTAGGACCACACCATGGACAAGGGCAGAGCTGAGCTCAGGCCAGCCTGCGGTTCCTTCTCACACCTGAATGTTTAGCTGGTCTGGAGCAGTGTGGGACATTTGGCAGCTCCGACCTTCACTCCTGTATGGCAAATATAGGGACTAGCTGAGTGGCATCTGCTCCTCTGGTTGAGATCTGGGCTTGTATTTAGCCAGGCTCAGATCTGCTGCATGTGGCTGAGGATGGAGACAGCCTGCCTTCTGTCACATCATCGTGTTCGTGTTTCCCTTAGACTACAGAAGCATTTCTCTGTGCTCACATCCCTATCACAAGTGGGAACACAATTTGTATGACTTCCACCTAAAAGGTGTGTGTGTGTGTGTGTGTGTGTGTATGTAGTGTGTTTCCTTTGCAGAAGCAAAGACTCCTGGGATCCTGTTTGCTGGGCAAATAGGTCCCTGTGTAGCTTGATTCATTTCAATACCTTCCTCACATCCAGATTCACCTCCACATCTGTCTGGAGGTTGAAACCAAAGTGTACCTTGCTCTCTGGTTAGAAATGAAGGACACCTCTAAGTGTCTCTTAATTGTGCTGGGCCCCAGAAGCTCATGGGTGCTGGGCCAGTGTTGGAGGATGTTTTTGTGCGTTGTGTATTCAAATGCTGATTTCTGTACCCAGAGATCTGGCAATGGGCCACGAGGCTGGGACAAAGGCCAAGCCAGTACTGTTGGGTTAGAATAGGTCAGAATCTGCCCAGCTATTGCTCTAAGCTTACAATAAATATATAAGGTCTCCCTGTCATTATTACATCTGTTGGTGATCTCAAAGAAACTCGGGTTACAGGCCATAGTGACAGCCACACTCCTCACTAGCTTTACTTGTGCTCTGGTCTCAGGTATCCCCTCAGAGAGCTCATCCCTCTCCTCCAGGCACAGATTTAATTACAGTAGCCTATGGCTAAGGCAGTAGCTGTAGTCAACAGGGATGCATGAACGGTGCCACAGAGAGAGCAGCTGCATAGGGCCTAGCAGGCATCTCTTTGCTTGTCTGCAGGCCACAGACAGGGAAAAGTATGGTGAATAGGCGACAAGGAGCTACCAGCAATCCTCGTGACTCACGACTGTTACATTCTACATTACCAGGAACACCGAATGCGCACACGCTGAATCACTCCTCCTGGAGAAACTACACAAGGCTCCCGTGAGCCCCTGGACATGGCATTTCCATCAACCAATCAATAATAAGCTGTTCTGTGAGTGCTTCTGTTCAGAGACACTGTATTTACTATACTATTGATTCATCAACACCACACTCGTGGCCAGCAGTGCTGGGCTCGTGCCTGAACAAATGCATGGAGCTTCTCTATCACATGAGTGCTCTCAGCAAGGCACAGTGCAGCCCCCTCAGGCTTTGGGTATTGAGACAGTGTGCCAGCACTGTGCTTGGGCCAGTTGGTACTGCAAAGCACAAAACGGCAAAGCACATACCCCTGGATACGCTGCAAAGAGGATACTTGCTTACAGTGTGAGAGCTGAACCCAAAAGGTAGAACATCATTGTGTTCAGCCTCAGCTGGGAACTCGTGTGCCAGTTAAGGGGCACATGTTGGGGCCAGTAGGTTTTTCACTGCCATATGTATGTAAATGACACAGACAGTATGAGAAATTCTGGTTTTAGAGTTGCATGAATTTTGGTACAGATGAGTTAGCAAATGCAGAATTGGTAAGTAATGAGAGGCCACATTTACTTTGTTGAGGAAACACACCGCTGTGAGACTGGAGATTTGGGATTTGGGGTGAAGCAGGAAGAAGTGTGTGCCCTGGGAATCAGATGTTGAAAAGCTCACCCTCTCTGCTGGCACCTCTGCAGAGGCACGCAGACTGGGAAACAAGTGGGACCTCACACTGGTGTGACTGGAATGGACCCAGGTCTGAGAGCCAGTTTTGACATTTATTCAATGTGTGGCCTTACAGAGGTCATTCTCTGAGCCATGGCTCCCTCACTTGTCTGGCATGGAACATGAAGTCAGCTAGCACAAGATGGGTGAAGGAAGACTAAAGAAATTGTTATCTGTGAGGCGGGAATGCAGCTCTGGCCAAGGATAAGGGCTATCACAGGGGACAATATCCTCCTTGCTTGCTTTATGACTTGGCCCAAACTCCAAAGAAGGAAGAGAGAGGGTTGGAACATGCAGCCATGCACTACAGTAGCCAGTAACAGCACATGGGGCCTTTGCTAAGCCCAGACTCTATTCAGACCAGCAGACCCTGTATCCAAATCTACTGTGAGCTGCTGGAGACTCCTTTCTGACGTGCTCCTCCCATGCAGACCTCACCCAGATGCCAAACACCTCAGGGTCCCAGACACCTCTACCTAATTGCTATTCCAGATGCATTCTCCTGAGATAGATGGAGATTGGGGGCTCGGGGGCTGGGGGAGATAAGTAGAGGGGATTAAGGATAGGAATCAAGGAGGTATGGAATCTAACTGATACCTGAAATTCAAAGACAGCCAAGCTTCATTTTGGTCTGTGCTGTGTCCCTGGCCTCCAGTCCAGGGCACAGCAGGAGACAAGAGGAAGCTCAGGGGGCAGGAGCCAGGAAAGCTGAGGTGGCTACTGTGTTCCCAACTTGACTTACATTTTCCGAAGGTTTGGCAACTTCTTGAAGATCCCAGTGGCCTCCAGGACAGAGATGTCATTGTCATTCAGTCGCCTACATGGGAAGCCAGAAGAAGCAGGGCTTAGCTGGGTGTAAGGCAACCCCTTTGCTACTCACCTCCCATAACTTTTGTTGGGCTCTGCCTGAACTTCACAGTCAGTAAAGTTCAAGCGAATCATGAAAAACTTCAGTATGAGGTAAGGGCTTGACAGAGGAATGTGGATGGAAAAGGGCAAAAAGAGACAAACACTTAGCCCTCCTATGGCTCCTTTATGAGGTAGCAGCTTCTTGCATATTCTGCATAAACACACATTGATATTTAAACACACAGTCAAATACTAAGGATCTTCCGCCATTTTAGGGGGTACCAATGGTAACCCTCCCCCACGCCCAGGGAACTTTCCTCAGGGTCTCCTGAGCCCAAGTTTCTCAGCTTTTCCTGAGTACTTCTGTCTTCCAAGGGGGCTCAGGGTCCCTGCACCCAGCATTTTTGTGTGCTCAGAGTCGTGTTGTGCCCTCCAATGACTGAAGAAGTCAAAGAAGGCAGTAACAGCCTCAGGTCTACCATTGTTTCTCCAGGGCTCCCTCTGTGACAAGACTCTGGAGGAATATTGTGCTTATGTCTCTTTCCAGACCTGAAGCATAGAGGGAGACACATGTCTGACTTCCTGATACCTTGGGGGAAATGCCTTCAGATCAGAGAGATTGTGTGGCTAATTTTGGAGGGGACAGAGGTGAGGTAAGGATCAGGTCTAGTTAGCCCCAGCGGGCCATCCTTTATCCTCTACCATGCTTCAAGCTTTAGTTTGTTCCTCTTTAGACTCTGAGAGCTTTTTTTGGAGGTTGTAGTTGAGAAGGTCATCCTCCTAACAAAGTGTGCCACTTCTGGGGGTATATACATGGAGCAGTGAAGGAGGGTTGGGGCATACACCTAGCTGGCCAGATCAGCAGAATCAATCCTGGTGATCAATGGGTTGACAGATGTTGCAGCCAGATTGATCTCACACCCTCACCGGTTTTTGTTTAAACCAACGTCCCCTTCTAGGGGGGTATGAGAAAGCTCAGATATATTTAATCATCTTAGTTATACTTTTGAGTAGTAATGACTTTTATTTAATATCTATCATTTTATAAAGATACTATAAACACCCGAGGGCCGCAGCAGGTGCCATTTGCTTTGCTCACTGTAGAAACGTAAGGCTAGAGCAACGTCTGGTTCATAGCGAGTGTCCAGAAAACAATCATGGAACTAATAATAAGCAAGTTATGTCTGGTGCCTTCCTCAGCCAAGTCCACAGAAGACTCCACTACGATTAACTCAAAGTGACCAAGTATGCGTAAAGAGAGGTAGGGAGGAGCAGGACTTACAGGTCAGTGGTGTATTCGGGGAGGTGGCTCGGGATTCGGGCCAGCTTCTGGTTGGAGCAGTCGACGACGGTGCCCTCACAGCGGCACTTCTCAGGGCACACCAGGTCCATGAAACACTCACTGCTGAATCTGTTGCGATAATCCTCAGAGCCTACGTGGGGCCAAAGAGGGGGTAATCATCATCATTTCAGATTCCTGGCACAAGGTCGAGAGTTGTGGGTAGTGGAGGTAAGGAGTGAGGTGGTTGGATTTGTCGGAAGAGGCACGCATGTGTGCGTGAACGTGCGTGTGTAAATGCACAGGCTTGGGAGGACCTGCTTATGTGGTGGCGTGTCAAATAGCAGATAACACTGATGCCTATTTGGCCATGTTGCTGGTACTCTCCACACCCCTCATCTATGTTGTTTTCCATGTGGTCTTTTGTCATTCAGCACTTGGTGCCTTCCAAGAAGCCAGGCTTTGGATTTGTGGGCTCTTATGCTTTTGTGCTTCATGGACCTTTTGAGAAGCCGATGTTCTGTTCATAGAAATCCTGTAAGACACCTACCCACAATCCAGCCTACAACAGTAGGAGATTCCTGGCTCCATGATGCTTACAATCTACAGACTGGAGATTAAGATCGGACTTTTGTGGTGGCTACTGGAAGACAGGACCAAGGCCTGAGAAGTAGTCACCCACCTAGAGGTCTTCCTGGCCTTGTAGGCAATGAGTGAAGAAGGCCAGATGCTCATTTGGTGTTAAAGTGACAACCAGCATCTTGTCTGATTTTGACTTTGACGTGACTGCACACTAGGGTATCTGAAACTCACAGTGCAGATGCTTTGGGATTTGGCTTCCAGTTGCCTGAGATTTCTTTGTTTTTGTTGTCTTAAGTGAAGCCAGATATTTAAAATATCTTGGCAAGAAATCCAATTCTTAAACACAGTGGAAACAAAATTCATCCAAGGGTCAGATCCGACTGTGTCTTAGAGAGGAAGTTCTCTTTAGTGCCAGTAAAAGGCCAGTTCCCATGAGCCAGAAGCTGGAGCTAAGATTTATTTATTTATTTTCAAAATTTTATTTCCTCCAAGGTCGTTCTGTAATGGCAACAGGTCTGACAGTCTGATGTCTCTGAGACATGCCCTTGGGGGCAGCCAGCCAGCCAGACCTCTGTGAGCACGTGAATTATGCTGGTGGCAATGGGGAGTGGTGTGTGGCTCTCCTGACAGGAGCTTGTTGATGGCGCTGGACTCATTCACGCTCTCACACCCACATTTTGTTAGCTAGATATAAAATGTGAGCTCAGTTCGTGTTTATCCAAGACACAAGCGGGATGCCGCTGGCGCCCGAGGAGCTTGTGTATTTCTGAAATGTTTTAGGGCCTGGGCACCATGTGTTTGGTGAATGCCTTGAGTAATTAGCATGGCGGCATGGAGTGGGAGTGGTCCCTATGTTTTAACTGTGCATTTGGCCAGGCGTTGCGACTTTCTAGCTCCTTTCCCCCAGGGGTTTTGTGGGATGATGAAGTTAAACCAGAGGTAGAGTCTTCAGAAAAAAGACAAGCTAAGTATGGGCATGTGTGAGTCTGCTCCCGTGCTTCCTGGATCTTGACAGAACATCTCATAGTTAGAGGCCATAGAAACACTAGTGGAGCCAATGGTAACAGCTGACATTTACTGCACTTGAACCAGAAGCCAGCTGCTCTTCTCCTAACTTAACCCCAGAGGTTAGAACTTCATTTTGTAGATGAAGATCCTTTGGACTATGGGGCTCCTGGTGCATGGCAAACAGACTAGAACTAGCTTTCAGAGACCCATGTGACTAACGCTAGGTAAGCTTTAGTGTGCTTTGTGATTGAACCTCTATTCCCATGTCTCCAGCAACAGCTACAAAGTCCAATGTGGCAGAGGTACACTGGGTTTCTCCTCCAGTGAGCTATGACAAGAAGCAAGCAAATGCCTCCCCACCTTACTCCTGTACTCTCTCTTATCATTTGTCTTCCTGTAGTCACTGCTGATTGGGAACAAAGTTGGCAGGTCTCTTGTCAGAAGTCTGGGTGGGTGTATCCTTTTTTATTTCTCCCTACTACCTTCCCACCCACTTCCTTCATTTCCCTCTGCGCCCCTAGACTTGTGTGAACAGAGCACATGCATATACTTAACAGTTTTACAGCAGCCTCGTGGTGCAATGTTTTATGTAAATCTCTTTCTTTTGCCCGCACGACTTGCTCCACTGAATAAACTTCGACCTTGCATCATTTCTCTTTAGACATATGAGAGGGCTAGGCTATTTTGCAACTCCTGCCCAACAAAAACCCATTCTGGTCCTATTGGTGGAGCTACATGGTGATGTTGTGGAGGGGGTGGGGGTCACCATTTTGAATGTGCATGGTCATGTTTTCTTCGGAACATGTCTATAGTGTGATACTTGCAAAACAGAGGAACCCTGACTGCTGATCAAAGGCAGAAAGACAGGAGGAAGCCCCGGTTTGCACTTCACCGTGAGGCTGCAGACGTGCACCGGCTGGGGACGGCCGCCTATTAAATGCATTTTCGTTTTAATCAAGGTGAGAGCAGTCCATAGTTAGCAGGAATAGCTCTCAGTAGTATCGTTAGGTTATAACTGGCAGACCTCTGCGGTGGAGCCGCTGACCCATTTTAATGAAATGATTTTGCAATTAGATTCGATGGACTAATGTGCTCTCTCCAGCATTTTTCCCCCTGCTGTTTTTGTTATTGCCCTGGTTTGTAATAACGAGGGGGTCGGAGAGTGATATTTTATATGAGTGGGAACCAGAAATGTTAATAACGGCGTATGTACATAACCGAAAAAGTTCATTTCCCAGCCAGAGCCAGCACGAAATGCCACCTCCGTCACTTCATATTTCATTACGGAAGCTACCCAGGGTTCCTCGGAGCCATTTGTTATGCCTAATGCTCATAACTACCCAAAAGTATTTTTAACTTTTCCAGAGCTTTAAAAGTCAATTTCAATCTCAACGCATATTTGTCACTGCCAGAAATACTTTGGAGGAGAGAACCAAGTGAAATAGGTCGCAGCTCTTTCTCTTTGGGGTGATCACAAATGGGAGGGATCTTGTAGGACTTGAAGACAGGCCATAAAGTTCAACTCCAGCTGGAGCCAGCCACAGAGGAGCTGATGTCACCTGGCTTTTGCCTGCCTCTGCCCTTGTGGCCCTCATCCCCACTTGTAGACATCTCAAAACAATAACACATGGTACACAATCATAGACAAACTTTAATAGACAGAGGTTGGGTGAAAGGTTAAAATTGACAGCAATGATATTTAAAAAAAAATTATTCTATATCCCTGTTCTACACCTACTACTTCTGGGAGGGAACTGTGACATATCTGAAAGGTTAGGGGACAGGCCAGCTGATTGGTTGAGCTAGAGTCAGAAGGAGTAAGGGGCACAGATAGGGTGGCTGCTGATGTTGTCTGGCTGCATTGGTGTGTGTGGATTGGAAGGCACAAATCCATCATATCTGGTTGGCAGGGGAAGCCAACACGTGTGCCCGAGTTTTCCTCCTCTCTCCCAAGCAGCCTCACGATGGATGGGAGCAGAGGAAGAACCTCAGAAAGAGGAGTTAGGGGTGGGGTTGTTCAAAGGCCCGGCAAGGTTGATCAGCTTGAAAAGAAAGTGATATGGATAAGCAAAGGGACCGGTCATGAGAGGTGAGTAGAATCAAGAACATTGCAGACACATAGACATCCATTTCTAGGCCAGGCTGGCAGAACCAGACACCTGCGGTTGAGAAACATTAGTTGTTTTAGAAGGAATTTGCTATCATGTGGGCAGGAAGATGTCCCTGTGCTCAGTGACCTGCCTGAAAACAGAGGGTGAGGCCCACGGTACATAGCATCATGAGATACTGAGGAAAGGTGGCGCCATCATGGATTCATTCCTAAGGTATGATATGGGCAGTGCTAGAAATGTTCCCTCTGCAAGATAGGGAAGGATGTTTCTCTATGCAGGAGGGTTTGCTTGTATCCATGGGCCTTGTGCTCCCGTTGGAGAAGAACAACTACTCGAACAATGCTTTCTTTCCTTTTTACTCAAGTCATTTCTAATAACAGATGTGAGCTGGAGGGAGAAAGTGAAGCACATCTTCAGCTCCCTATCAATTCAAGTCAAAGCTTCCAAAAAACTTTTCCTTTCAAGGCAATGAGTGTCCAAAAGAGGGAAAGCTAAGTAGCACTGAGGCAGAGCAGAGCCTGTTGGGAGCTAGATAACCCTGGGCCAGTTAGTTAATATCCTGCCTCAATACTCTTATCTGCAAAATGGAATCTAAAGTGTTATTAAATTAGACAGGGTGATGATGTTAAAAGCTTCCAGAGCCTGACCAATAGTAAAGTACATGTTCCAGTGTTTAGAGAGACCAAGAGGGCCTTTCTCTGAGTCACAATCAGAGAGGGGATAATTAAAGTCATACAGCTTGGTCGGGGCACAGATTCAGGCTCCTACAGCTAAGTGTGGCTGCGTTTCTACCTTAGTTCTTACACACGGAATAAGACACAGACTCCCGCACAAAACCAACAATGAAGACCTCTAGTTATACCGGGCCCAGGATTTACCAAGAAACAAATGAAAGGGAAGGTGCCAAGGTCCCTCTCTCTACTGTCAGAATCAGCCAGTGTCTGTGCAGGCCTTTCCTGGCCTCTGAAAAGGCATCAGTGAAAGAGTTCCACACCTCCATGTTAACTGTGGTCCAAGGCTAAGAGAACAGGTCGGACATCAGGGTTCACCAGGATCTAAGTATTCATGAGTGAGAGCTGGAGTCAGAAGGAACCCCAGTTCAAGTTCAAGGTCTCAGACCCATGTCTATTCTCCCTGTTCTCATGCCTACATTCATTTCAACTCAAGAGCTTGCTGAGAGACGTGGTGGTGAAAGCCAGGAGAGGAATGGTTCCCCTCTGCATTAGCTACTACTTGGTGATCCCGTGCTGGGACTCTCCCATGAAACAATGGGGCATATGCCTTAGGTACACTTGTCTTCTTCAGATGGGAAGTTGGAACCTAGCTGTCACGCCTGGGGTCCCATGAGACCAGAGTTGGGGAAGAGTGACTACATTTGCACAGGATATGTGGCTACTCTCAGCACGGGCCCCGTGGGTCCCTCTAACCCCCTATCACCATGTACCTCCGAGGTTCCCACCCCCCTCCCTCTGAGTTAAGGCTGGGAGAAGTGGGTCTGGCGGGTGCGGTGATCCAGAGCAGAGGAGAGTCCAGCGGTGGCGGCGGTGGCGGCGGGCCATGCTGCAGGAGAGAGCGGTGCTTTCCGCGGTGCTTGACAGAACCATGTTCCGTTTCCATCGTTCCACCACATGGTTAGATCAAGCACAAAGGAAAGCCCCGCGGCAACCGGTCAGAGTCAAGGTCAGGAAGCAGCATCAGAGAGAGGACAGGAGCGCCCAGAGGAAGCAGCGGTGAAGAAGCGGAAGCCAGAGCAGGCCCCCACTGAGCGTGATTAGTACCAGCAGTGCGGTCCACTGGATCCTGCCAAAGACATGGGCCCCACCTCCCAGTGCCCTGCCCCGGGGAGACTCGGCAGGAAAGAGGGACAGGTGGGACACCTTCAGACAATCATACCCAGGAGCATCCTAGCAGACAACGGGCCAGTTACATTCTGACCCAGGATCGAGCCTGCAAAGTCTGTCCAACAGGTGATCTGATATGACACGAGAATCAGCAAAGTGTCTTCTCCTACTTTGTGACGCAGGGCTGACCCCACAGCTGAGGGGCCTTATGGCAACCCATTCCCTTTAAATAAAGAGATTGCCCATGGTTCTCATGGGTTTAGCACAGCGTCTCCTCTCCAGGCAAAGCTCCCTTCAACATTCCATAACTCAGGAGGCTCCTGAGTACCTTGCAGGGTCCCCAGGCCTCTTAGGCTGATAGCTGATTCACTCCAGGTGGGTTGAGGTGTAGCAGAAGAAGAGTGTGGCATGAAAAGCAACCACATCTTAGGTCCCCAGGGTCTGAGAACATTGTCACAGAGGTAGGGCAGATGGATGGACAGTGGTTGGAGGCTGGCTTCTGATAACAGGCTTTTGCCAGACCAAGAGAAGAAAGGAAACAGGCCAGAGAACCAATTGATTAGCCGGAGGGTAAGACAACTAATTTTTGGTTCCTTCTGATTTCTAGATCTCTTCACTGGCAGGGAATCATGGGAGAGGGTGAAGTAGACCCAGTCTATTGATCTTTTGTGCCACAGACCCAATCTTTAGCTCCCACCTTCCATAGGTCAGCCTTCTTCCTACTTGGCATCAGGCTGGAGCTGTGCATGTCTCAAAGAAACAGAGCCCCAGCCACACGACTCCGACCATCCCTGCTTGACTCTTGACCTCTGATAGGAAGGAGAGGTCACTCTCCTCTACCATGTATGTATTTTGGGTGCTGGCTTCACTGACAAGATGTTCTCATTCTCAGCAGTGTGCGGGCTGTCTGTAATGATGGTCCAGTTAAAGAGCATACACCCACGCCCATGCCTTGACCCCGTTCACCTCTCTTTCCGCATCCCAATCTTACAGACAGACAGCTAATAAGGGTGATGTGGGCTCTCCTGCACCCTGACACCTGCAGCTACAGGGCTATGTAAACACTCAGGTTCTAAGATGTCTCCGTGAGTTTGAGCAGAGTCTCAGTATGAGCAGGGCACATTTCACGAACTTAGAACCTCCTTTGTGTGGCTGGTAAGATGAGCTGGCAGATAAAGGCACTTGTGCTGCCAAGCCTGGTGGTGACCTGGGTTCAATCCCCAAGCCCTATATACTGGAAGAACAGACTCCACACTTCCGCTGTATGTGTGTGTACACACAGGGGCACATGAGCGTGCACATATATACACACACTAAAAAAAAATACAATATAAATTATAAAGTTCCCCTCTGGCTCTCTCTTTGCTTTTCTTTTCTAAAAGGACATGGAGAGTCCTGGAGGTAGCTGATCTGGATCTTCTTGGTATGTTAGAATCATCATAGCATGTCAGGTCATGTGTAGAAAATAATAGCCTGACCTTAGGGATTTTCTGCTGTGGTTCTCAGTTTTGTCTCTAGAGTGGACTGGATAAACTCTTGAGGTCTCTAAAGTGACCCTGAGTTAGAGCCAAAGAGTTATGCACTTTCCATAAGAACAGTTTCTTTTTAAAAGAAGGGGGGGGGGACGGCGTGATAGAAGGCAGGCAGCTTCCTTCAGCAGCCGCGTGCGCCCTGGGGTGGGGCCTGTGCTGAACGACCTAATCTGATGGTTAGATGGCCCCTGGCAGGAGGCATCCATCCCTAAACTGATCTTGGTCCAGGACAGCGGCTGCAGCTGAGAGAGAGGCAGAGAAAAGTGGCTGGGAAGCCAGACACCCTGCCTGGGGAGAGGCTGTGCATGTTGCAGGAGCTACCCTCAAATTGGCTCCTAATCACATCAGCTGTCTTTTCAAGGGGGCTGCTTTTAGGGGAAAGTAAAACAGAGTTATTATCTGTCAGCTCTCGTCCATGTCATCTGCCACCCCTCACCCCCTCCCCTTTCTGGAGCTTCCTCGAACACAAATCTTCAGGTCTTTGGTTTCTGTATCCCCTCCAGGCCGAGGTAGGTTTGGGTCCTGGTGATTCTCAAAGTCAAGGCTTTTGGAGCCTCAGTGCTCCCCTCTGCTCCTCCCCTGCAGCTACATAAAGGCACACCAAACGCTCCAAGTTAAGCTCATTTGGGATTTGAACATCACTAACTACAGGAATAGGCTTTCTCCTTGGAATTCTTAATAATGACAGTACACACCAAGTCAATTAAGAGTTCTGTCCTTTTCTTCCTGTTTCCTTTTTTCTTACCACCCATTTCTGCCCATCATAGCAAGCATGGGTCCTATAAACACCAAGGCAGACAGGTAGACATTGGCACAGCTAGATTCAAAACTAGTGTTACTGTTTCCTAGTTCCACTGTCTGTTCCTTGTTCTTTAGTCTTTGTCCTTTCTGTACACATCACCCATACATTGCTACCTGTCCCAGCCTCAGTCAATGCTAGGCCACTGCCATTACTGTAATCCTATAGGCATGAGTCATTGGATCCAGTGTCGGTTCTGTCCCTGCACTGCCACTCAGGGTTCAGACCTAATCTGAGCTCCTGGGTGTTGGCAGGACACTCGTGAGACTAAAGGTCAAGGATGGCAGGCAGTTTCCTGCACTTTTCTGACTTCATCTACCCTTTCCGTGGGAACCACTAACTGGCTAATTAACTGAGCCCCAAGCAGGCAGAGAAAAAAGAAGGAATAATACTGGAATAATACAAGCACTGGAAAGGACCGGTGTGCTATAGACGACACTTAGTGCTGGGACTGGGGGGGGGGAGACTTTCTACCCAGAGATGTTACAAGATTCAGGGAGGAATTTAAGGAATAGGATTGGGGGTTCAAAGTGGAACCAAGAGACTAGAAAGAAGGCAATTCAAGCAGCTGGACTGCCTTCTCTGCTAGATTCACAGTGTCAAGGAGAGAGCAGATACAGAGCTTGGTTTCCACGACTGAGATGTGCAGGTGGCCCCTTCACTTTGGAGCCCCCAGCTCTCTCTGCTATAGAGCAGGATCTCACCTGATGACTTCAAGCAGCTACTAGAAGAGGCAAATCAAACTAGGACTACTCAGCACAGTACTCCTCACAGGCAAGAAATTTCCTACTCACTGATACCATTACGATGCGGAAGGCAAATAGGCAACGAGTGCTCATACTGCCACAGTCCCTGAGTCTCTCTAGACCCTGTCTGGGTATTTGCTTCCACAAATAAAATAAGACAAAAGGCTAAAGTTTATCAGCCTGATGACACATACTACAGAATTTGACTTAAAGGACCATGGACATGGTACAAGAAGCCAAAATCTGCCTGGTTCCTGGGGAAACACACTGGCTGAGCACTCTCTCAGATGGGTGGGAGCATGGTTCTTGCTGAGACACACGCTGTCAGGGTTGGCTCACTCTATCTCAGCACCTCCTACTGTCAGTTTATCAGCTGTGGTGATAAACTGGTCTATTTCAGTAGAAAAACAGAAAAATGGTAACGATGTCTAAGTGCTGGCTCATGCAACCACTGGTCAAGAAGACCACCTTTCTTACTAAGGTAGCCTGAGAATTCTCTTGCCATTTGTCTCCATGTCTTTCCTGGGGAGGGGTCAGGGGAAACCAGTCTGTAGACAAGGCTGGGCAAGGGAGCACAGCTTTTGCTTCTTTCCACAGTCTGCTGTTCCCTGTATCATCAGAGAGCAGCCATCTGCTCCAGGGAGATAGGGAAGGTGTTTGTGAAACCTGTAACCATTATGGTTAAGGGCTGTTACTAAAGCCTGGCTGGCTGCAGCCCGACCTGGGCCGGTATTTATTTCTGTGCCTTTCTGGTAATCTGCTTCAGAGACTACAAAATAAATCTTGGCCTCCTCTCAAGTGCACATGTGCGAAGGCTGCCCAGTCCCCCAGCTTCCACCAACCTCCGGGGATGAGCAACTGTGCCTGGGTTCTGTTTCTCCCAAGCTGCCCGCCCCTCCCCCACGCTTTTATTGTGTGAGTGTGTTTTATTTTAAATCCATAAGGTAATTGGTTTTCTGTAGGGCTAACTGAATTTCCCCAATTTAATTTGCAAAGATGCTCCCCAGGAGCCATTACAGCACTCGCTGTCCTCCAGATTGGATTATTGGCCTCTCTGGGGCTGCTGTATTCTGAGTCAGAAAGTGGGGCCCTGCTCCCGTAACCTGATTACCTGAGCAGCGGAACTTCTTGCTTTTGATCTGGCTGATGCGCTTGTTGGCCAGCCGGCGTGGGCTGCTGCAGCGGGCCCCGCTTGTCTCGATGGGGTTGTCCTGGAGATAGTCAGCCAGCCACTTCAAGTGGCAGTCGCAAACAAATGGGTTTTGAGCTAAGTGGCTGGAAGAGGGACAAGGCTGTTAATCATGAGTGACCCGTGCTACCTTGCTTCACCAGCACCCTGCCATGGGCTGGTGCTGGCAAACTGGTGCCTTCTGTCTCGTGCTGGGCCCTAGCAAAGTGGCGGGAGGCCATTTCCTTATTGCCCCAGGAGGTATGGGTGGGGTGCTGCTCTCAGAGAGGATTCAAAGAGGGGGGGGTGTCTGAGGCCAGCTGTCTGCTAAAGGCAGCTCAGATGTAGCCAACATCTGGTCTGGGGAATCAGCTTCCCCGTTTTCCCCTCTTGGGGCAGGACCCACTGCTGCCTGGCTCCATGTCACCCAAGCCAGACTTTGCCGGGCAATGCAAATCGAGAACTTTAGAATTTACATGCATTTTTATTTCTCCAGGCTTTGTGATGCCAGTCACATATAGCAGCTGTCATGGCTGCTTGCTTATGGCAGGTGTTCCACATAGAATAGTGGGTATTAATACTGTTTTCCTTATCATCACAGAGTGCCGAGGGCCTCACCTCCTCTGAGCAGTAAGAGCAACTCCGAAGCACTAAGCATGGAGCTTCACACGTGGTCTGCATTCAATACAAAGCAGCTGTTCTCACTCTATATTGGTTCCTGCCTTTCACTACTAGGAAATAAGTGCCAGATGACTTCCAGCGTCTCCAGGAGACCTCCACACTCATTGTAGGACTGGAGTTGGGGCGGAAATCTGAGGTTGGACATGTCATGACTACAGACTGAGTGAGACCTTCACTCACATCATCTGTTTACCTGTAGCACACACCTGCAGTACTTGGGTATTGAGGGTTGGGTGTGTGTATAAGTCATCCCTAGAAAGCCTGTATCAGAGGCTTGGTTTTGCAGTGTGACAGAGGGAGGGGATAGGTTCTCACAGAGATAGAGACTGCTCAGAACACTAACCATGGCTTATGAGCACAGCTCACAAGTTCTGCCAGGATTTAAATCTTGCTTCATACCAGCTGTGACCTTTTTTGTTTTCTTTAAATTTTTTTTTATATGCGTGCTATGTCTTCATACCAGAAGAGAGCATCAGATCCCAGTATAGATGGTTGTCAGTCACCATATGGTTTCTGGAAATTGAACTTAGGACCTCTGGAAGAGCAGCCAGTGTCCCCTAGCCGTGATCTTGAGTTAACTAACAATCTCTCAGTGCCATGGATTCCTCACATAAGTTCTAGGGGCAACAGTAGCATCCTCCTGGGTTTCTGTGAGGCTTGCATGTTTGAAAGTGAGATAAAACTCAGCACATTCAGGCCCTACCCCTGCTGTAAGTGCTAAAAGTCCTCCCACGGGACCCCAGCCTGCCCTCATTTTGGGGGTAGGTGTTTAGCTGCCAGGGCGGTGTACTCACAGGGTCTGGATGGACTGTAGAGGAATGAAGAGCCCCTTGCTGATCGTCTGCAACTTGTTGTCATACAGAGAGAGCAGGTTTAGGTTCTGCAGGTCCTGGAAGGTGTTCACCCTCAGGCAGTCGATCTTGTTGGCATTGAGGAGGCTGTTAGGCAGAAGAGAGGCCTCGGGTTATTGACAGTGAAGCAAAGGCTGGCTGCACCTGCTGGTACCGCCGGAGAGTGGCCACCTCTCATCCGCGTGGCCTTCAGTTTCTGCTGCAGCCCAGAGAAAGACAGGCTGCTTCCTGCGGCTCCCCAGACCCTCTTTACTTTCCCCCCATCACCGTGGATGCTGGGCCACACACACCACCATCCCGTGCACCTTGTCTCACACCTGCGTCTGGCTCCTCACCCGCAGCCTGGGACAAAGGCTGGGCTTGGAGCCGAGCAGTGCACTTCTCTGCTTTAGAATACAGAGCTTCCAGGAATCACAAAGGAAAAAAAATCATTTGGAACAATTGTTGTAATGCTTTAGTAGATCAAGTCAGGGCAATTTTGACTCAGAGAATTCCTTGAAGCTTGTTTGGATCACTGATCTCACAGGATATCTGATGAAAGTTATAGGCCATCCTCCCAGGGAAGAAATATGTCCATGTGTAGGCACATGCATGCAAACACACACACACACACACACACACACACACACACACACACACACACA